CAGAACAGAGATGATGGGAGGAGAGGGGACTCAGGGATGGGAACCCAGGCAAGGGGTCTAGGGCTCCTCCCCCCTCACCTTGGCACCATTTTCATCCACAGAGTTGTTTCCTGCAAGGGAGACAGGGATGAATACGAGGAACTGGGGCCTGGCCTGAGTCTTAAGGAAGAGGGCAGGGGCAGGCAGCCAGCGTCCCTGGGTCTGAGGGAAACGGGTGGTCCTCCTCCTCTGAGGGACTAGAGGGAGGTCTGGTCTCGGGGCTGCTGAGGAGAAAAGAGCTGCAAGGCTGTGCAGCCCTACCCTTCCCCAGTGTCCCTCCTGAAGTGAGCTCCCTGCTGCTCAGGCAGGAATCAACCAGAAAGATAAAGACCTTGACAGTCAGGTTGGCAGGGAGACCCTCCCATTTCTAAGGTTCAAATTCAAGCTGCTGTCCTGAGGGAGGCCATGATAAAGATGGGGGAAGGCCATCTTTAGGGGAAAGGGAGGAAAGGTCTACAGTAGAGCAGAGGGCCCCCAGAACAAAACTGGGATACAGGGCTATGTCCCTCACCGAAGATATAGACAATGCTCACGGTCCCACCGGCCCCGAGCAGCCCAGCAAGCCAGAGTGCAACTTTCTTGGCGTAGCTGGGACCTTCCGTGCCCCGCTGCTGTTGTGGGCCCTGGGCCTGGGTCTTGGTACCTCCGCGGCTCCCGATTTCTGCGGCCTGTGGTTAAGAGGGCAGTGGTCGGCCAGGAGAAGAGAGAGGTCAGGGTGACTTGGGGGCTCTGGTCAAAGAAGAATCAAGTTTGGTAGCCAGAAAGCAGAAACCCACATAAGCCTGGGAGGAGCAGCCAGGAGAGCTGATGTCTAAGGGTCAAGAACTAGAATGGGGCCAGGATACCAAGAATTCAAGAATTGACAGGGGGTGCCCAGGATTCTGAAGGCAACTGGAGGGCCTGGAGCCCCTAAAAGCAGGGCAGTGAGATGAAGCTGGCTCAACACAGACGGGGCGGAGGAGGCAAGGCGATGGAGGACACACAAGGGGTCAGGGCAGGCATTCACATGGAGGGGCCCACTCGCAGAGCTGAAGGGATGGAGGTGGGAAAGGGGGCGCGACTGCACGCCGGGCTTGGGGAAGTAGGGCAAGGAAGTGGCAGACCTGGAGGTCAGAATGGCTGGCGGGCTGTCAACATGGAGGCAGGTCCAATCAGAAGCCCAGAGGCCTACCTCGCCGCCGCTGCCACCACCACGGCGGAGAACACAGCCCAGCTGTGACCCCAGTGTCCCCGGGTCCTCCCATCAAGTATCACCTGAACGGTCACTAAGCCAGGAAACAGGTGACCCCCGCCCCCAGCACGCACGTGGGATCCAGAGGAGGTGAAACCCAGAAGGGGTGGGGTCCAGAGGACGAAGCTGAGGCCTCGGTTTTAGGCCGGGGAAGCCACATGGTCCACAAGGGAGGCAGGGAAGCGCCCCCAAATACGGGCGGCGTTCCATTCAGCATCGTGAGGTGCAGTGTCCCAGAATCTCCGGACAACAGCAGTCCACTCGGAACCCCAGGAGGGGGTCCCCCGCCGCAGGCCGCCTCGTCCCGCTCACCTGGTCCGGGGCCCGGGGGGACGGCGTCGCGAGCCTCGCGC